ATAGATTATAATTAATATAATATATGAATGATATATTAATTATTAATAATTTATTTCATAACCTATTATTACTTGTGTTATTGTTGATATGTTATCTAACATATAATATAATTAGTAATTAATAATTAATTATTTAATATAACTTTGTTGATAATTATTAATTGTACTACGTTGATTCCTGCACAATCTAAATGTTAAAGTTGCATTTGGGCTGTTTCTGATTTTGATTGTAGATTCTTAAAAAATCACTTTTTATAGTTTTTATCAAACACCATTATCAGCTTCTGATGGCTAGAGATGTGATTTTGAGCTCTAAGAAGTACTACAAAACGCACCTATCAGAACCATAGTAAACATAAAGAGTGTATTTGGAGGATGGGTTCAAACCAGTGCTGAACTTTCGGGCGGCGGGCATGCCCAATGCCCGAAAATTTTCGGGCACTTCGGGCAGGCCACTCTCGCCGCCCGACCACGGTTTTCTTCGGGCATGGGCTCGGGTAGCCCGAAAATATTAATCCCCCCGACAGCCCGCCGCTGTGGAGAAGCCGTCCCCCGCCGTTCGCCGGATTTTTTTTGAATTTTCTGGCAATACCCGAAGCTGCCCGAAAACTGTTCGAATTTGTGCCCGAACTGCCCGAATTTCTGTGACTGTTGCCCGAATTTTTGTGACCGTTGCCCGATTTTTGCCCGTTGCCCGAAAAATGCCTGATTTTTTTTTACCGTTAGCCCGAAAAAATGCCCGAATTTTGAACAAACGGGTCTTTTTGCCTGAGCCCGACCCGAACTTGAATTTTACCCGAATTTTTGAACCAAACGGTCGGATTTTTTACCGTTGCCCGACCTGCCCGATTTTTGCCCAAACTGCCCGAAAAATTTGTAGCCGTTGGACCCGAATTTTTTGGGGAAAATATTTTTTTTCAACCCAAAAATTTTCCTATAAATACCCCCCCTCCCCCCAACCATTTTCCTCACCCCAAAACTCTCATTCTCTCTCAATTTCTCTTAATCTCTCTCAATTTCTCTTAATCTCTCTCAAATCTCTCTTAATCTCGCTTAAATCTCTCTCGAATCTCGATTTTCTTAAGCTCTCTCAAAGCGCTCTCAATCTCTCTTATTTTTCATAATGGCTTTTTCTGGTTATGGTGGTGATATTCCCATTGATACCCAATTCAACATCGAAGAAGGACAATATCCTAATGTTTTTCGAACGCAGGAATCGCAAACTGTGGAAAGAGTTGCTGAAGAAACTGTAAATCTGACCCCTGGTGGACGTACTAGAGGTCGGGGACGCAATGGTGGTGGCACAAGTGGCCGTGGAGGAGAGGCAAGCGGTATTGCTAGTGCAAGTGTTGCAAGGTCTAAGAAGAAATGCAAGCGCACCTCAGCAGTTTGGGAGCACTTCAACACATTCGAGGACGTCGACAATAACGGTAACATTAAATACGTAGCTCAATGTAAATATTGTGGTGAGAAATTACAAGGTAACACTATTCACGGCACTACACACTTAAGAAGGCACTTTGAAAAGTGTCTTCAAAAGCAAGGAGGCGAAGCTGATCTCCGCCAAATGCAATTATCGTTTGACCGCCAAACCGGCGGTCTAAGCACGTGGAAATACGATCCGCAAGTTGATCGTATGGAAATGGCACAATTAATAGCCACATTAGATCAACCACTAAATTTTTCTGAACAAAGAAATTGGCAACGTTATATTAAAATTGTACATAATCCTAATGCACAATTTTTTTCTAGAACTACTCTTAAGAAAGATGCATTAAAATTATATAAACAAGAAAAGGAAGCATTAATCAACCTTCTACACTCTACTAGGGGTTGCGGGGCGTTAACGGCAGATATTTGGTCCGCCGTTGCTAACAAGGATTATTTAGCTGTAACCGGACATTATTATAAAGGTTTTGATTTGGATAAGAGAATCTTAGGTTTCAAATGTGTTATAGGATCACATACTGCCAATTTAATATATAACACAATTTTATCTGTTATTGATGAATATAGTTTAAGAGATAGAATAATGCACATAACATTAGATAATGCAACTGCAAATACTAAAGCAATAGAACACTTTTTGAAAATGATTTAAGTTTATTCGGTAATAATGATATATTTCACCAACGTTGTGCATGTCATATAATTAATTTAATAGTAAAGTCCGGTTTAAAATCAATGTCAGGTCATATTAAAAGAATTAGAGATAACATTGCTTGGATTCAAGGTACTAATCAAAGAATACAAGATTGGTTTAGATTTCTACAAGCATGTAATCAAAATC